GGGATGAAAGAGACAATGCAAAATCGATTGATCGAAAGGTGAAGGATAGTGAAGAAGGTACCGAACAAAGGGATATTTCCAAAAATCCTACAAATTCACCAACTTCACACAAAGAACGATTTGAAAAGGCACACACACACACACACACACACAGACATACAGACACATACGACCTGTGGGCCGGCTAGAGAAAGGTGGGCGTAAAGATGGTGAAATGAATGGATGGTCGGATAGGGATGCTGTACCATCTAAAAAAGCCCGATCCACGTAATGCTGGCGAAGAGGAGAAGAGTTCGAGTCGCAATAGTTCGGGTTCTGGCGGTGAGGGGAATCGGGTTGGTGACAAACGGTGAGTGTCAGAAGCCGGACTGTCGGTGAGTGGAGTTTGGGCTTGATGGAATCCGATTGGAAAGACGGCAAAAATGCTTTCGTCGGCTTGTTGGGCGGACAGATGAGGGCGGCCTTCTGGGGAGGGGGCTGACAAGAAGCCTTTTGATGTGTTTATGGGTGCTGGGGCAGAGGGTTGGCGGAACGTCGGAAAAAACTGCTTTCTGGCGAAGGAAAGGGGGAAGAGGCGATGATTGGGGCCTGCAAAAAAGGGACAAAAGATGGTTCTTCCGAGTGGTTAAGCCATAAAACCTGCCCGGTTCGAGCCCAGGTCGTCGCGACAAGGAAGCGAGTTCAGCCAGGAAAACACTGGCAGCTGTCCCCTTCGATGGGGCAGGATAGTGACGAGTTTGCGTAACACGACAATTGTACACCAACCGAGCCGGTATTTGAGGCGACCCGTCCGTCGAAAGCTGGACCAGCTCGAGTCGGTTTTCGGCTTATCCACTCCTCGAACTCTCATCCTCATGGCGTTGACTCGTTTGCACAATTTGCGCATGACAACAGCCGTTTTGTTCTCTCGTTTGACATCCGTTTTAGCATTTCAATAAGGCTTAAGGATCTGCATTTCACCGCAAATGTTTCTGGTCCACGCACGATCTGCCAGACTCTTGCATTTATCGCTTCTTTGCCAAGTGGCCAGACGAAACGCCGTTAATGTACGTCGCAGAAGATGGGGCGGGGGTGGGGGACAGGGGGTACAGTCGGATGACCAAGTCGTCTGAACTGGCCAGGCTGGAGAAAGCGCTGACAAGAGCGACTGTGCGACTTCTTCCGGTCAGAGTTTGAGTTGGACATACAGCTTGGTTCAATGCCTAAGAGGAAATCTAGACACTCGGCTAAGTCTACAAGACTGTCGCCTGTTTGCGCATCTGTATGTGTATTTGTACGTGTGTAAATGTACCCTTTTTCCATATACATTTCGCAGAATGCTCTGACTCTTTCGCGACTAAGCGTGTCCTTGTTTACCAGATCTGAAGAACAGAGTTTTCAAGAGTTGTCCAATTATTTTTACTTGCCCAACTCACTTCCATTACGTCAGAAAGTGTGTTATGAAGAGATTTTATGATCAAATGGTTCTCTGTGCAGACTGGCTACTGTCAAAGTAACAGACATTTATTATGAAAGGTTGTCAATCTAACCAAAAGTCGTCGGTAAAGTAGGCGTTGTCTGTGATTATTTGCTTTAAGCGTGAACTTCATGTTACTAGTCATTGTGGCAACCTCTCTCAATTTATGGGAGTAAAATGTTGATCTACTATAAATATGAGCAAAATTTCAATTTCTAAAACCTCATTTTTGCAACTTGGTCGTGTTGTCAGAGCGACTTAATTGGACGTATCTTGTCAGAAGTCTTCTGCCATGGTAGTTATCATCGTCTTGGAATGTACCAAATCCACGCTCCGACTATGGAAATGTTCATGCATACAATAGACTCCGAAAAAGGTGACTTCCTCTCGGTCCTACTACCAATGTGACCAGATTGCGAAAACAGGGTCAAACAACTTTTATAAACCGAAAGCAAACCTCGACCGTACTAAAGGCAACACCATGCTGGTCTTCATACCTTTTGAGAGACTGTGTTTGCCCCGCTCGGATCCAAGAGCAGATTGTCGGGCGGTTAAGCCTAAGGATTAGACGCTTATTCTATCAAATCTCGTTAACATTGGTATGGCAACATAAGGTGTCGGTATATATGATTGCTATAGTGATGATTCTCGTGACGGGTACTTTGAGCCACACATTTGTGTATCACAGCCCACGACAGTTAGCCTAATTCTTTATGATCTATGAAAGTCAAAAACTAAATATACACATGTATATTGGCTATCGATGTGTGTGTGTGTGTGTGTGATGGTTTATATACGGTCCGGGCATTTTCTAATCAACTCTAACCGCACCATCCTCATTTTTTCACTCTCAGCTGAGTAGATGCGTG